GAAAAATGTCTATCAGACCGCAGTCGTTTGCGTTCCAGCGAGAAGAGATTATGATCGCTTGACCGATGCTCACAGCTTTTTTCCTTTTATCCAGCTACCATATATTTTGCACCGGCTTGAGAACAAGCATGCTGCCAATGCAAAACAACGATAAGGAAGTTATGGAGGAGTATAGAAAGATTAGATAAAAATGGGGAAAACAGAGGACACGGAAAACGAATGTATAAATGAAGGAATCTTTTGTAGTTTCATCGTACACTTTCTTAAGGTTTTTTTGGAGGGGGGAGGTTATGGGGAACGGGGTTTCGCCAAACAAACCGCAGAGCAATCGCGCCACTGACATCTATTCTGAGCCATATCTCCCAGCGTCTCTAGCCATAGACAGTCCTCATCCCTTGGGCCCCAGTCTGGAAGGTGAGCTGCACCAACCGAAGCCAATGCTGGGGCTAACTTCTTCATACCTCTACGCCACGTCATGGTCTGATCGCCGCGAAACTTCTTCCAACCTCGCCCGGCATGTGCAAAGAGAGCACGACAAGGTAGTCGATGGGCAGGCATACGCAAAACATGATTGAGTCATCGGAGGCGGCGTAGAACGATTTCTTCCGTTAGAGAACGATTTTCAGTACCCAGAACACGACAGTGAATTTCGTCATTGCTCACCCGATGTTCCCACCAGACACGAGCAATGCTTCTAAGGCATCGGTGGTCGAATACGAAAAGTCGATTAGCATCTGCTCGGAGAGGCCAGGTCTTGCAGCTGTGAAGCAAAACACCACGGACCGCGGCAATGTACACCCTTCCCTAAAGGGACAGTCGGATGTCGTGGCGGCACCACAGGTGTCGCAGGTTGGTGAAAGCTGTTCTAACATTCGCAATTCCTGATGTGACCTCTTCCCCAACCCCACCTCCAGCTGTGATTAAGCCCCCGAGGTACTTAAAGCTCTAGACCATTTCCAGCTGATCACCTCAGAGGGTGAGTACAGGCACAGGCTCCTGCTAGTCTTGAACCAGCACTTCGCACTTTGATGGTACAAAGCACATACCATACCTGGATACCTCTATCACCAAGTGGTGTTATGCTTGTTGGACTGTCTGTGCATTGTCACCCAACAAGGCGATGTCATCAGCATATTCTAAGTCAAGAACTCTGTTCCCTGGGAGGAGTTTAACTCCTCCGTCTGCTAGACCGGACAAAGCGTCCTGCAGAACATCCTCCATGGCGAAGTTGAAAAGGAAAGAGGATATAGGGCAGCCTTGTCGAACTCCACTGGAGACGGCACAGGGTGGTAAAAGCTGGCCATAAGCCCTAACCCGACCTGAGGTATGACGATACAACTCTTTGAGGATCGACATACTTCTCTGGTACTCCATCCATCAACAAACACCTCCATAGTGCGGTCCTATCAATATAATCGGAGGCCGCGTGAATGTCTAATAACACAATGGTCGTTGGTCTACGGTAAGCATAACGGTGCTCAAGCAACTGCCGCATGGTGAAGATTGGATCGATATAGCCTCGACCGGCACGAAACCCAGCGTGCTCCTCACTGGCATGTTCCTCGCACGTTTTGTAGAATCTACGAAGAATGACAGAGGCTAACAGCTTTGACGCTATTGGAATCAGGCCTATATCCCTATGGTTGGCGCGATCTTTGCGCGGACCCTTTTTAAAGATGGGGACAATCATGTGCTTAGCTAAACGCCGCACTTTCTAAACATACTATATTCATCCTGTAGTAGTGTGCTCACGCAATACTGTGTAGACGAACAGTCGCTTTTTACAGGAGGATAAAGAATTCAAGCCTTCCGCATGTGAATATTCTCTGAAAACTCTAACCAGAAGAGTCGGTCGTATATGTCCCGTTAGGCTCCTGGATGATGACATCGGGGTCATTGTAATAAGTGGTTAGAGACACTGACTGATACGGTTGTGTCGCAAACAATGGCGCTGATGCATCTTATTAAGTTCCTCGCAACCTTGTTCTTCATAAATTATCTATCTTTACTCTGACACTGATTTAACCATTCCAGGCTGCCCTTTACTCCTTCATTCAAATGGGCAGTCATGAAATACCGACCAAACTCGGAGCACATAATTGCATGGTTAATGCTTGTTTAAACTTAACTTAACTGAACACAACCTGAATAGCTGCCCCTTAGTCTAAATCACGGCCTTTGAGTACTGAATAGTGGGTTCTTAGTAATAAAAGTCTCTAGATTCTCATCTGCGAAAGCTGTTGCATTGGTGATCCATAAAGTCGTTATTTACTAGCTCTCGTTGCTAAAACTCAATACGTGCTCAGATTCAGTGGTAGGTCCCACTGACCATCAAGGGTGCTGGCGCAGTGGTTTAATCGCTGTTACCCTATGGTCCGAGGTTCAAGCCTCGCCACGTCCATCCAACTATGGTGATAGGCAGCTTTGCTGTCGCTCGGTTCAACACCACGCCTAACCTAGCGGTGCCTTATGTGGTTCGCCACTCGGAACTTAGGTCACCGGTCTTCATCATTTAACGGCAGGTCATCGTGACTACGGGGTTCGCCCCGTCTGCTGTTCATCACAAAAAAGTGTGAAATAAAAAATGTCGAGATCTCTGCAGATTTAATCGTGTCATTTTAACATCATCAGAGAACACGAAACACCCATTCTGAAGATCTTGTTTCAGATCGTTAATCATCAGTTACATCTCACCTGGCGGACTCATCACAGATGAAGTATCGGCGCGGATACAAAAGGCTCGGTTGGCATTTGCCAACTTGAGACATCTGTGGTGCCGTCACGACATCCGCCTGTCTGTGAAGGGTCGAGTGTATACTGCAGCAGTTCGGCCAGTTCTACTCTACGGTGCAGAAACTTCAACTTTACGGGAACTGGATAAAATAGATTATCGGTGTTCGAACACAGCTGTCTAAGTCACATTGCACGAGTCTGGTGGAGTAACTGGATGAGCAATGCTGAGGTTATGCGTAGAGTTTTAGGCATTTACGGTCGTCCACTGGAGCAAGTGATCGACCTGCATAGATTACGTTCGTTGGGGCATGCGTTACGCATGTCATCAAATAGGTTGCCGCGGCCAGCGATGTTTGCCAAGGCTGGTAGCGGTTGGAAAAAGATCAAGGGTGGTCAAACTAAGACCTGGCATGAGGGTATGAAAACCCTAACCAGCAGACTAGGTCACATAGGCCCCTTTAGGCTCCCTGGCTGGGGGCCTCGGGATGATGGTCACCGATGGTTAGATACACTGAGTGATATGGCTGGGTGTCGCAAACTGGCGCTCGNGGCGCTCGTGCATCCACTCATTATTCCCCTATCACTAATCTATATGAATTCTCCATCTTCCTCTTGAATTTGCTTTCAACATTCCAATGTTCATTCTGCTCTTTTATCCAAATTGGGCACCAAACGACAGCAACCAAGACCGGCGCACGAAAGTACATGGTTAGTGGTTGTAAAAACTGAACTGAACTGATTAGGAATATCAAGGGGCCTAAAACTAAGCCTTGGGGATCCCCATTTGAAACCATTTTAGGGGTCCAGACGTAGTCTTCTATCCTAGCACTGAAGGTGCGATTTCTCAAAAGGTCCACTATCCAATCCCTTGCTTTAGCTAGCATATCGGGACTCTTAGCTTTGAAGTTCAGCAGCCATTGGCTGATAAACTTAAGACATTTGTTGCACCGTCACGACATCCGAATGTCTGTGAGGGGTTGAGTGTTTGCTACTGCAGTTCATTCAGAGTTGATTTACGGTTTAGAGACTTGGTCATTATGGGAGCGCAATAGACTGCCAGTTTCGAATACCGCCGTCTACACCGAATTTCACCAGTCTTTTGGGTAAACTGAGCCAGCAGTGCTGAAGTTAGGAGCAGAGTTTAACGTAGCCATGGTCGCCTTCTGGAGCAAGTTGTCGTCCATAGGTTACGCTGACTGGGGCATGTGTAATGGATGTCAGCAAATAGATTCCTATGGAGCACATCGTTTTCCGAGGCCGGTGAAGGGTGGAAAGAAGTCAAAGGAGGTCAAAATGAGGGTATGAAAACCGTAACTGGGAGACTCAGTCATTTAGGACGCTTCATGCCCTCTAGATGAGGACCTTGGTATTATCGTAACCGGTGGTTAGAGACACTAAGGAACATGACAGTGTCGCAAACAGTGGTACTCGTGCATCTACTTGTTTTCCCTGCAATGCTAGTCAAAAGTAAATCTGTATATTCTCTTTGATTCTGCTTTCAACCTTCCATTCTTCCTTCTGCTCTTCTGTCCGAATAGGCGGCTTAAAGATAGCAATCAAAATGCTGCAAGAAGGCACAGAGTTAATGNTGGTTGTAAAAACTGAACGGAACTGATCTGGTACTGGTCTCCGATTACGCTAGTATTCTGATGTTCAGAACCAGTCCTATTTACATCTCTTGCCGATACAGACCACCCATTGCCACCTACCAAATAAGGCCTCATTTAGAGCTAGTATGTTTCCCACTCATTGCACTAAAGACATCTGCAGTTCAGTTGGATGAACGCCAACAGATTGAGCTTACATGTGATTTAATCTCATTCTGCAGTACCTGGTTTTGATTATTGATCCACTTATTTTACCAAAATATAACACTTCCAAATATGGTCCTTATTTGCCACTTGTCGATTTTCAAAGTTCATTGTTCTTCACTATAGTCATCTCCTTCATAGCTGGAAGTCTCAGCTTGATTTTTTTCCATTGACTATCTACTTAATTTCCCTATGATGGAAATATTTTTCTTTGTGTGAACGCTTAGCGGAAGCATGAGATAAGAAATCGGTGGTGGTGGTGCAGCGGTTTAGTCGCTGTCACCGGCGTGCTTTGGACCCTATGGTCCGAGGCTCGAGCCCCGCCACCTCCACCTAACTTCGGTGTTAGACTGCTTTTCTGTCGTCCGGTCCAATACCACACCTAACCTAGCGGGGCCTTATGTGGTTCGCCACTCGGGACTTAGGTCACCGGTTTTCATCATTTAACAGCAGGTTCTCGTGACTACGGGGTTCGCCTCGTCTGCTGTTCATCACACGAAAGTGTGTACTAAAAAAGTCGGATTATTCAATTTCGACAAGTTGCCTCGTTTCCTTCTTAGCGTTAAACAAAGACAGTAGCGGCTTCTTTTTCAGTTTTTTGGGGGAAATGCATTTCCCTACAATATTTTACTTGCATTTTTCAATTATTTCTTAACATTGACCTCAAGGTATGCAAATCAGCACGTTTCCTAACTTGAAAATCGTTTGATGCTGTTCTGGACAATCTTGTTCTCAGCATCTATAAATAAAGTATTAAGTGAATCTTGAAATTTTATTCCCCCTTAACAAAATATTAGAAACTACAATAAATACCAATCGAAATATTGCATTATAACCGTGTTCCTTCATAGCTCAGTTTTCTGTTATCGCTAGTTATCACTAGATAAACAACACCATTCCAGTTTACTTCATGTTAATGTAGTCGTAATTGCCTATCCATGATTACACGGATTTAGGTTTTCATGGTTTGTAATACCTGTATTTGTGTTTATCTTCTAGGGCGGAATGCTGCAAATCAGCGAAAAACTAAAGTTGATTCAGTTGGTATTCATCCCCTTGAGTACTGTCCAAATCCGTCCGAATCCGATAGTTTGGCCGGCAGCTTTTGCAAATCAAGTAAACCATCCCTTCTTCGAACCGCAATAGCCGTGCCGAGCGTAAACGGTAGTACACATAGTAATCCGTGCTCAGTTTACCGTGGTCGCGGTGCAAGCAGTCTGAGTCACTTAAGCTGTAGCGGAATTGCTGCTGCAACTACAACGACACAACTGAGCGCCACATCGTCTTCCGCTCAACCTACTCCAATCGCTCCATCGACTAGTGTCGGTGGAGGAAGTGCTGCACCTACTTTGCGTGATTTGTTAGAGGAAAGTTGCAGCGGTTCTGGGTCTGGCGTTGCATTACTAGTTCAACGAACTGTTGCTCGCCAAGTACAGCTGGAAGAGCGGATCGGTGAAGGTCGCTACGGAGATGTCTGGCGAGGAGTGTGGCAATGCGATCAAGTTGCTGCGAAAATATTTTCCAGTCGAGATGAGCGCTCTTGGTTTAGGTGAGTTTTTTCATTCCTATGGTCGTATATCATGTTTCATACTCCAATAGGGGCATAACATAATCTGATCAGAGCATATACAGTTAACACTTCACCGAGGCTTGCTGGTATTTCATCTTGCTGAAATTTGCATTCACTCACAGACNNNAGACACCTACAGTTTGTTGCAGTAGACCGATATTTTTTGTTTGTTGAAATAAAGTGATTATTCTAAGCCGGAAGAAAATCATTGAAAACAAGCAAATACACATGCAATGCTATGTTTTAGGCACACTGGTTCATATTCCCGGAGCTACAGATGGTAGCTGAGTGTCAGGTAAATATACAAAACTGGAGGAAACAATCCTCCAATTAAAGATGTTCCCTTTCCTGGTGGTTTAGTCGTGGTCACTGGCGTGCTTTGAATCCTATGATCCGAGGTTCGAGCCACCGCCACCCAACTTTGGGGCTAGGTAGCTTTGCTGTCTTCCGGTTCAATAGGACGCCTGACCTATCGGGGCCTTATGTGGTTCACCAAGCTAAGTCCCGGGCTTAGGTTATTGGTTTTCATGACGGAGCAGTAGGTCTTCGTGACTACGGGGTTCGCCCCGTCAGCTGTTCACCAACCAAATGTATGTAAGGAAAAACATCGCATTCAACGCCGTCTTGAGCGATGGGCAGGCCATTTTCAGGCTCAGTTCAACTGCCCCTCCCCCATCGACACTTGACCTGTTAACCCCTTATGTGAACTTTTATAGGTTACATTGGTTGGGATGTGTATAATGCATGCAACTATAGTATTGTATTGTAATAAATAGGTTGCCACGGTCCACTTTGTTTTTCGAGACAGGTGATGGGTAGATAAAAGTAGTGTCCTGGATTTGAGGATATGAAAACCCTGACCAGGAGTTTTACCCACGTACATCGCGTTACGCTTCCAGGATGGTTAGATACATATTGATTTGGCTGAGTGTGTTGAACAGTGGCTCTCGTGTAATCAACTAAATGGCCTTGGAACCTTAGTTTTCATCAGTTCGCCATTTTCACACTGGCACCTATTCTCTTTAGTTCTGCATCCGAATGGGCACCCGAGACAGCGGTACGAGTGTATGATTGATGGTTCTAAACACTGAAATTGAACTTCGAGTATTATGAATGCCAGTCTTTCAGTAGATAGACTGTGAGTTACATGGGATTAGTGGAGGATTGTACTTTGATTATGTGGCTATTTTCGTGGTATAGTTTCGTTGAGCACTGCACAACTATTTCTACCTAGCTGAGTCTCATCAGCAATACGAATCCATCGCCCTAACTGAAGATAGAACCAGAAACCTCACAGGTACAACGCAGGACTACTGATTACTTGATCATCGTTTTTCATTTTGCCCTTGCACGATGTAGCAAGATCCAACATGCCGGTAAGACCAAACCAGACGAAACAGCTGACAAGTGCTTTCCAGCTTTTAGGTTCACCCTTTCTTTTTCTCTGTACATGACGAACAGAAAAATAAGGAATTTCAGTGGTCTAAGGTTGCTAAGAAATTGAGAAGATGCACGAACGCCGCTGTTTACGACACTCAGCCATATCAATCATTGTCTCTAACCATCGATTACGATCATCCCGAGGTCCCGGCCGGGGAGCCTTACGGGACCTAGTGAACCAGTACCCTAGTTAGGGATTTCATACCCTCATGCCAGGTCTTAGTTTGAACACCTTTGGCTTTTTTCCATCCACTACCAGCCTTGGCAAATATCGCTCGCCGTTGCAACCTATTTCTGACTGACGTTTTGACCTCACCACGGACACGGCTAAAAAAACCATCCTTCATTGGGTGTTATATCTTCTTTTTTAAATCGCCATTGTCGACGAAACAGGATTCAGTGGTATCAATACTAAACTTGCGAATGGCAACCAGGAGTGACAAAAGAAGGTCGAAGCGGAGTTAGTCCACACGGAACAAATTTGCCAGAAGTTCCCTCCGAAAGTATTTAGTATTTTCCGGGGAGATTGTGACCTAGTATAACGTCTGCGCGCAAATTCCACACGTTTCGCTTCGTGTCCCTCAGTTTCAGGGGTTTCAAGGGTTCTAGCTAAGTCGGCTTGTTGACCAATCTGGTGAAGTGTGCGGATATTGAGTGCGGCTAAGCGAAAAGGGGATTTTGATTTAA